ATAATAATAATAATAATTATTATAATTATTATAATATGTGTGTGTGTGTTAATATCCTGAGCTTGACTGCTATATTTTCCTATAGTCTAACGAACCCTCTTTCTAGTGAAATGATAAAATCATAGAAAATGTATCATCTTTCAAACGATGTTGCTACCTTGAAATTGTACCAAATAGTAGGACCAGACATATGGGAAGTACAGCAGTGTATGAATTTCAGTACCCAATTATTATTTTTGTTGTTGATTGTGAATACCAATATATCATTTACTTAAACACTGAAATCCTAACTGTAATTAATTAAATATTGTCTTACGCGAATGACTACTGTCATATAGATGAGAGAGAAACAGACTGTTGAATGAAATATGTCAACAGAGACAAAAGGAGTGTTACAGTGCATTAAGAGAATACTCAATACTTTCAACAGAAAAATATTTGCTTTATTTAGTGACTTCATGCTCACTAATTTGCTGCATTCTGTGCAAACATAAAATAAATAGAATAGAATAAACCTTTATTATCCCACGGATGAGAAATTTCTGTGTTACAGAGCTCTTACAGCAAGGGAAAATAAAATATAAAAGAAAGACACAAGGTTGTCCTATATACATAAGCAACCGAAGTTTGTATATACAGGTAACAATGTACAGAATATGTATAGAAAATTTTAAAAATTGTACAGACCTATGTATAAAATGTACAGTGAACAAACAGCCTGTGAGTAAGATGACCAAAAGAATGTTAAGCTGCATTATAAAGTCTGACAGCTGCTGGTAAGAATGACCTGCGGTAGCGCTCCTTCCTACACTTTGGGTGTAAAAGTCTACTGCTGAACGAGCTGCTCAGTGCTCGTACAGTCTAATGCAGGGGGTGAAAGGTGTTGTCCACCTCTCACCCCTCCCACCTCTCAACATCCTCTCCTCCGCAACCTGCTCGATGGACTTCAGCGGAGAGTCCAGGACAGAGCTGGCCCTCCTGACCAGTTTGAGTTTCCCCCTGTCCCTCTCTGTCATTCCACCACTCCAGCAGACCACAGCATAGAAAATAGCAGACGCCACCACAGTGTCGTAAAATGTCCTTAGGAGTGTCCTGTTCACCCCGAAGGATCTCAGTTGCCGTAGTAGGTGGAGATGACTTAGACCCTTTTTATAGAGTGCATTTGTGTTTGTGGACCAGTCCAGTTTGTTATTGAGGTGAACACCAAGGTATTTGTACTCCTCCACCATTTCAATGTCCAAACCCTGGATATTCACTGGTGGAATAGGGTGTGGCTTCTTGTTGAAGTCAATCACCAGCTCCTTCGTCTTGCTGGCATTGGTACGAAGATGGTTCTGTTTGCACCAGCTTAAAAAGTTATTGATGACCCCCCTATATTCCAGTTCGTTTCCCTCCGACTCCCGACCCACAATGGCGGTGTCGTCTGAGAACTTCTGGAGATGGCAAGTGTCCGTGTTAAAACTGAAGTCCGCAGTGAACAGGGTGAAGAGGAAAGGGGCGAGTACTGTTTCTTGTGGGGCCCCCGTGCTACAGATTACCACCTCAGAGACACAGTACAGCAACCTCACATACTGGGGTCTCCTGGTGAGGTAGTCAATAATCCACGAGGACAGCTGATGGTCCACTCCCGCTCCCTGCATCTTCTCCCTTAGCGCTGAGGATTGTATTGTATTGAAGGCACTAGAGAAATCAAAAAACATGACTCTCACAGTGCACCTGCCGCTCTCTATATTAGAGAAGGCCCGATGCAGCAGGTAGATGACAGCATCATCCACCCCGATGTTTGGCTGGTAGGCAAACTGCAGCGGGTCTAGATCTCTCCTGATTAGTGGGTGAAGGTGGTGTAGTATGATCCTCTCCATGGTCTTCATCAGGTGTGAAGTCAGGACAACGGGTCTGAAGTGGTTTGGCTCCTTGCGGTGCGTTGTCTTTGGGAATGGCACCAAGCAGGAGCTCTTCCACAGAATGGGGACCCTCTCCAGACTGAGACTGAGGTTAAAGATGTATGTGATAACCTCACAGAGTTGATCACAGTCCCTCAAAAGTCTGGAGCTGATTCCATCTGGACCCGTGGCCTTCCTGGTTTTCATCTTCCTCAGCTGACTTCGCAAATGGTCAGTTGTGACGGAGAGGCTGCAGTGTAGGGTGTGGGTGGGTGGCTCCCGATGACTGGCGTGGGGGAGGAGAAAGGAAAAGGGGGGCAGGTGAGGTGCATTTGATGTACCCGGTGCTATGGGGGGTTGCAGAGAGGTATGAAGGAGGTGTGAAGAGCTCTGGTGGATGGGGGAGGGAAGGGCTACTGGCATAGTCTTACTCTAAAGTAGAGAAAAATACATTAATTACAGTTGACCTCTTTGTTAACAATTCTAATGAAAAATGAGTCTGGATAGATCAAGATATTATAACATTCATGTTTTTGTTTTTCTTAGTTTTTTGTTTTTTTTAAAGCCCTTTTATTCACTGATCTCAGTTGTACAGAGAAAATTTGCATTACACTCAGAGCTTATGAATTCTTTTTTTTTTTTGCCACAGTTGCAGCAATACAGGCATGGAACAGAATCAGCCAGATGTACTCGAAGTCGATGCACAGATTGTAGTAAGTTTACTCAGATTATTTTGTTTAATGTGATCTAGAAAAAAAATCACTGTTTCTAAATTTTGGATCTTTAATTCTAATGCAGGAGCTCAGAAAATGGTCCGAGAAACTTGATCATCTGCATGAAAATCTTAATAACAAATGGAGATCTTGCACGATCTTGCAAAAAGAAGGTATGGCCACACATATTGTGAAGCCTTGATTTCTGCGGCGTGACTGTTAGTCTTTCATTTCAGAGTCAAAATTGAACTCTTAAAAATATAAGTGATGCCATGGAAATTGATTTTGTCAGTCTAGAAAACCATCAGGCAACTTTGGTTTGGTATTTGTATGTCTCGTAGGTGAGATGTTTTGTCTTATCCAACTGGATCAGATTCAGGGTAGATGCAGGAAACATGAGAGAAATTATGTCTTTCAGATGACTTAATTCACCTGTGTTCCCAGATGGGGAGGTTGAGGAAATGCATTTAGAAAACTATTGTAGGTTTTGTTTGTTCTTCAGTATGACAGATGCGCCTTGTTTGTCTTTACTAGTGAAGGAAAATGCTCAACTGGCCAACTATTGTGCTTTTCAGGAAGAGGAACATCACAATATGGTAATATAAATATATAATGTATGTTTAATATATAATGTAAATTGCTGTTGTTTAGACAGCCTAAACTAACATTCATAAATATATTGTATTCTTTAGGGATTTGTTTTGTCAATTAATATTCAGCAGGTGATCAGTTATTGCCAATTATCTGACGTGCTCATTGTTCTTTGTTTCATCCTGGATAGTGGTTCTGACACTCACTAGTCCTTGACCTAAAATTGAAAAATTTTTAAAAATTCATCTTCTTCTAGAATTAAATGGAAATCTTTCAAATGTTCTAGAAATTACTTTTCTTTCGTAGACAGTTTTAAGGACAAAATTTCAGTGGGGCCACAAAACTATTAACTGTAGGTTCATGCTAACTGTATGCACTGCTATGTATTGGTCAGCCTCTTTATGTTTCAAATTCAGGCAATTTTAACTTGAACTTACCTTTTAAAATAAACTTTAAAAAACCAACAACAAAAAAACAAAATAATTGTGACTGTCACATTTGATGTTTTTAATATAATGGCGTTATGCTGATTGTAACACCATAGTTTGTGAAATGTGTTGTATTTAATTTGTACTCTGATGCTACTGATATGTTAGAAAAATACCTGTGTGGTCTTTGCATCAATAGACCATCATTAGACTTAAATGCAATGCTAGCATTATATAATGTGCCTGTGGGACCCCAAAAACAGGCCAGGGTTCGTAGGGTGGGTTAAACTAGTAAGTAGTAACCAATAAGAAGCTAGACTAACTGTCCCCAGACTAAGCCCCAATACCAATACCCAAAACCCAGGTTAAGGAACCAGGACATACTGATAGGAAGTGAGCTACTGGAACAAGGAATATATGAAAGGTCTGATAATATAAATTAATCCAAGACTACTATGTCAGCCCACTCAGTGAAGAGGGGTTATCTGCAACACATGTAAAGAACCTATTGGTTCACTTTGATAACATCAGAAACCTTAGAAGACCTTGAGTACAAGATTAAGGAAACAGGAAAGATATATTGAAGAAACCCCTGGGGAGAAGAAAAAACTGCCATAAAAGGCTTACAGCTCTGGCCGTTAGGCTAAAGAGATATACCAGAGAAGCAGAGGATAAATCGCCTGTTTGCCAAAGATCAATCTAATAATAATAATGGGTTGCATTTATATAGCACTTTTTGAGACCCTCAAAGTGCTTTACAATACCACTATTCATTCACTCTCACATTCATACACTGGTGAAGGCAAGCTACAGTTGTAGCCACAGCTGCCCTGGGGCACACTGACAGAAGCGAGGCTGCCATATTGCGCCATCGGCCCCTCTGGCCATCACCAGTAGGCGGTAGGTGAAGTGGCTTGCCCAAGGACACAACGACTGAGACTGTCCGAGCCAGGGCTCGAATCTCGAATCAGGGCATCACACAACACCTACACCAAGTGACTCATGGACGTAAGAACAGACCACAGCAAACACCCAGAACAACGAACAGTCAATATCACAAACACCTACATCCAATTTTAAGTCTCTGGAATGACGAACTAGACAAGCACCATGACCTGATATGATCCACGCCTACTTCCAGAAGACAGTAACAGCACTCCATGATTGCCTATTAGTACTAATAACAGGGGTGCTAAAAGCAGGTACTGGCAGGGCAGAAAAATATTTATATTTAACAATATTTACAACTGTCGCTGAAGTGCTGCTACAATAGTTATTATGAAGGATTGCTTCTTCACAAGGGGTGTGTGTGTGTGTGTGTGTGTGTGTGTGTGTGTATAACGTATTATTAATTATTTAACTTAATTTATTGTCTTACAGATTGTCCAGCTTCAGTTAAATATTTTAAAGCAGGCAAACCATATTGTGCCATTTCTTACTGATGTGGAGCTGCCAAAGTGGAAGCTCTGGCAGCAATTGTCCTGCATTGGAATTCAACGTCACACCAGTTTGACTCTGCACCTGAAGCAACTGGAGAAACGGTCAAAAAAAAAAATTTCATTTCTCATTTTGACAAAAAAAAAGTTGCATAAAAGAACTTTTGTTGCTGCAACAGCTTTTTAACACGTAATACATTTGTTTTCAGATTTACGACTGTCGCTAAGGTGCTGATACAAATATATAAACAGCTGCTGAAACAGCAAGACTGGAACCAATTCATCCTCAATGCCCCAATTACAGAAATGGAGAATTTTGCACTGTCCTTGTTTAGGAAACTTGTCACAAAGTAAGACATTGCATCAGAACTTATTACTACTTATTACTCTTATTTACTCTATATATAGAGATGGACATGCAAACATGCTTAATACTGACATGTTCTTTTGTTATCTTACATTGCAGAGCTCTGGTTGTTGAGAAACAGCCTGTCATGCAAAATTATTCACAGCGGCCTCTAATACTGAAGGTTGGGGTACAGTTCAGTGTGACACTGAGGTAGGTCTGCACTGAACAAACTTAATAAAAAAGTAGCACAGAATGTACATCCGTGTAAACCCAAGTGTCTTTGTTATTTATAAGAAACTTCTTGCCTACAAATTTTAAGCGGTTTCCATTTTACTCAGATTTGTTAGTCTATTCTTGATGTTAGCCCCCACAGAGACAAAAAGTCAAATTCAGCAAAAGACTGCAAAATGATCTGCCAGTAACTGACTGAAGAAGAGAGAGAGAATTAAAAAAAAAAAAGCATGTTGTGAGTGACTCAGGAGTTCCTTTTCATTTAGCTCTTAGATTTGAACCATATTGAAAGAATTGCCCTGTCTTGTTTTGAGGATTATATATTTGATGATCAATATGTATAGTAAATCTTCACTAATAAGAATTTGATAAATAGGACAAGTGGCTTTTTTCAGATTCTACTTCTAGTATGCATGAAATCAAGGACCATTCTTGGTTACTAAGAACTAACTACAGTCATAGCCAAATACCTTCAGAAGGTAAGAACGTTTCTGAGAAGCGGTTGAACAGTAGGAAAAGATCCAAGCCATCAATACATATGCCCCTCCCAGCCTTAGCAGTTAAGGAAGATGTAAGTTGTTTTGTCTTAACATTCAAAATTAAACAGCATAGATAATAAACGACACTGAAGACCAATAACCATATGGTAACAAGAGGTCAGATTTAATGTCACCAAAACAGGATAACTTTTAGCCTCTTAGCTGCTGGGAGGCTAAGGCTGGAAAAGGAAATAACCATATAGAGACCAACCAGGAAACACTTGTTAAATAGAATATAAAACCCCCAAACATCAGAATACAGTGGTCCCTCGATTATCGTGGTAGTTACGTTCTAAAAATAACCCGCAATAGGTCAAATCCTGCCTTTGACGGTCCAAAACGTTTCATCGACATTGTTGTGTTTGTTGGGGAGAAAATTTACAAACATACAGTACGGCTCTTCAGAGTCACATTGTGAGCGATTGAAGATTTATATACATTTTACAAGTTGAACACATTCTGTACTGTACAGGACCACAGCACGAGATTGATTGACAATAGTCTACAGCCAAACAGAACGCAGAACACAAAGCGCTGTGGGCAAAATTGCACACAAAAAGAAAATCTGCAAAGGTGAACCGCGTTATAGGAGGGACCAATGTACTATGAATTCATCAAAATCAAACAATAAATACAAAACCCGGGCAGAAAACTCAGGGTCCATGACACAATGGTTCAAACATGTTGGTGGGCTTGAACTAGGGACATATTGTGGTTAACACCTTAAACCCCTATACTGGCATGTACAGGCTGTAATATTTTAACAGCCCTTATTTTTTTTTCTTTCTTTACAACATTTTTCATAGTTTTTCTTTACTTTTTTTTTTTTTTTTTT